TTTTGTTTTGTTTTAAGTGCATTTTGTTTTGTTTTTAGTGTATTTTGTTTGGAAGTCGGTTTTGTTTTTTTATTAAAAAGTTTATTTATTTTTATACCTGTTCGTTATTGTATCATTTTAAAATTTTTATTGTAAATGAAACAAATGACATGATCTAATTATCATATAATGGTTTCATTTGCTTAAAAACTATAAAAATATAGTTTTTAAGCAAAAGAAACCATTTCATGCGTAAATTAAGTACTTAATATAACATACTTGCAATAAAATTAACATTAACTTCAGATAAAGAAGCAAGAAATCTTAAGCAATCTGTTACGGTATAAACAGTTACTATTGCGTTATCGTTGGACGGACAAGAGGTCAGACAATCAGAATGTTCAGTCCCAATCCGATGCAAAATGCAATCGATAATCCTCAACAGTCTCGATGACAAAATCGTTTGTACTTATGTAAGAATTATTTCGCAGGCGCGGCGGAGTGCAGGCCTGCGCAAGCGCAGCGTCGACAACCTCAGGAAAAGATCAGGTCTGTGCACACTTCCTACTTCATTCGCGAGCCGACCACGGACACGGTCGCACGTCTGTACAGCTCTTTGTGTTGTGTGTTTTGTGAATGTGATAAAGGGACGTATGACAACCTTGGAATTGAATGACGTTTTAGAGTAAGTTGTGTAATTGTTTTTTTTTTATTATTTATTCTGACGTTTTGTTTGACAGTTCAGGGTTTAGGTCAATGTTTTGTTTAATTACTTTAGAGTAAACACATGTTGTAATAAACTTGGTAGGGTAATTGCCAATAAAATGAAAAGAGACAAAATAAAAAGGCAGTAAATTATTAGTACATAATTACGGTTATAAATATAAACAATCTTGTTGTGCCAAAAATTTTAATAACCGTTTCTTCTATCATGTGCATTGTTTTAAATGTCACCCTCTAAACAGATTTATAGCTATCTCATTTTTTCCGAGAGAAAGAGAGAGATAACAAACGGATTTGTCTTGTTATTGTTCGGTGCTTTGATTATGTTCTCATACGTTTTTTCCTGTTTGGGTTTGTACATAGCGACCTGTTTATCGTGTTCAACGTTTCGTATTTACGACTAAGTCACGGTTGTTTAGATAACAATATACGAATATAAATAGATTGTTTGGCAATCGGGTGGGTATCTAAAAAAATTAAAAGATTATAAACATTTATTTAATACCGTAGAAATAAAGTATTGTCTCTTATTATAGGATTTCCTGTTACAAATAATATGAAAATAAGTTGTAATAGAAAAGCTTTTTTATATTGGTGTTTGAATAGTGAAAAATATGGAATAATACTGTTCAGTGTCTTTCTTGGAAAGTCTATTGATTAGCCTTTTGTCTGTTTTTTGTCTCTTTCTTTGTAAGGGAAGGCAACGCTGTAGTTGCGGTTGTAATTTCGGGGAATTCCGGTGGCCGCTTTGCACGGTTGTCACCCTATTAATAAAAAAAGGTTCTAGTATTCATAATTCAGATGGCTCCTGTTAGTGTTATGTTTTAAGTTAGATTTTTTTTGTTTTTAATCTTATTCAAGTGTTACAAGTGAATTTGATAAGTGCATTGTTATTTGCGTAACCTGTCACATCTAGCTTTGCTCTTGTGTGGCAATTTCCCAGGCTACTAAACTATTGTGGGTACACTTTTGAGATCAAAATGTTTCCGGATTCTCTTGCGCAATGTAGGAAGTTCTAAATTGTAGTTTGGTCAATGATTACTGCTCTAATTTAGTACAATATACCTATTATTTACAGTAAAACGTTGTTCATTATTAGGAATTTATGTTTGTGCCGTTCTGTTCCATAACAATACGATTCTACCAGGTAGGGTAGATAAAAAAATAAGGTACAATTGGGGAATCTGGCAGTGTTCAGTTACTTTTGAACATTTTGACGCATTGAAACAATAACTATAATACGCAGTTTTGGAATGCATCCGTTTGGTGGTACACGATTATTTGCCCTTTATCATTATACCGTAGTTTCCGCAACTCACTGCTACATAATTGATTATTTGTAAGAGGCGGAGTTTGACGGGTCCTAAGAAACGGGACAATATTTCTGGGACAGGAACACCGCGGATTTTCTCGACTGTACATTTTTTTTTCTGAAAATAATTTTTTATTTACCAGTAATGAATCATGTATATTTTGAACGTCATTTCTATTATTATACAATAGTGCTACTTGCAAGTTAGTTACCGCAAGACAAAACTTAGTATTCGATATGTGATACTTAGACGAAAATTTTGCACAAACTTGCTTGAAACGAAATTCTATAAACATCCACATGCTCTACGCGTGTCTCCGAATGTACGTGAATTGTTTTTAGAACAGATTTTTTTTATCTGTGTCTTTAAAGTTAAAAACTATTCAAGCAGGATTAGAAAATCTTTTGTTCTCTCTCTCTCTCTCTCTCTCGAGTTTAGTCACTTTATTTTAGGGTCATGGTCATTGGGTTCTAGTGATTTGCTGTTCTGACGGTCTAACGTCTCTCACTGTAGTTCGTATGACGACTGATCGTCCACTTGGTTGCTCCTTCTAGTGATAGGCTTGCATAGCTTATAAAAGTTTGATTACTTAGTACACCAGAAACTTGTAAAAGGGTCTCTTGAATGTAACGGAAGTCTGTACAAGAATGTATAAACGTTGTAGAAATATGTACTTAACATAGAAATAGAATAAAAAAGTATTCATTGTTCGATCCGCAACAAATCTGTCCAGGCGCAGTCTAGCAAATAAACAAATAAAGAATGCAACTGTTACCTCAGAGCGTAAATGTCGGCTACGATTAGAAATACCATGCTGTATTGTAAAAACAGGGATAGTTCCTTTTAACCATATGATCTTAGATAACAGGTTGATGTTCTGTATTTGTCCATTTCTTTCTCTTTTCTTTAATTGAAAGAAAAGAAAAAAAATGCATAGGTCGTCAAAAGCTTCGCTTACTGTTTTATTAGAATAGTAACCAAAAACTTACTTTTTGCATTGTTTCGTCAATATTAACGTAAATTAACTAAAACTTTTTTTTTTCATACAAGTAATAAAAAGTATTCCGATCCGCGTATCTTTAATGTCATGGTCACAGTATCATCGAAAGTGTGCCGAGTGAGAGGTTGTTGGTAATTTGGACGTGCGACCTTGTCCTCCTTATGGTGTTACGTGGTTGTAAATCTACGGGCGCAGACCACGCTGGTATACCTCGTGTTTATGAACCTGGGAAAATTCCAGTAACATTGGGTCACGCGTTGTCGTAATAGTATTATGAATTGGTATGTTGTCTTTTGTAGTGGTTCAATATGGTCAATATTCGATGTATGTTTTATATCTATTTAATTCCCCCCCCCCCCCACATGACCATGCCTATGACCTGAAATAAATATTTTGTTCTCTATCAATGTAATATATCAATCTCCAAACTCACTGTTCTTACAAATTGCACTAGTGTTGCCATGTAGTGCAAAAGAGAGTGGAATGTAGTCGAGGTCGTCGAAGGCTGTTTAATGTAACTCATTCTCGAGATTTTACGTTGTATCTCCCTTCGCTTTAGTTTGATATTTTGTCGTATGGTTGTTTTCTCATGTAATAGTGACTTAAACAATAATTGAAATGTGAAACTTGCAATATGTCAATTTAAATATTGCAACTTAATCATTGGTATAAGATTCTACTTTATTAATGTAGCATTATCTGAATCAAAAATTATTTATCTTTGATAGACTTTAGGATTGATATGTAGGCTAATCTTAACACTCGAAAATTACCAATAAAAACGCCTAACACAGTGATGTTGCGAATTATTATCTATTTTAAACTGTACTTTATCAAAGGGGCAAAATTTCCGCACGGAGTGATAAGACTGTGTCAATGTTTAGTTTACTTTTAGCTGTGGTCGAAAAAATTTAATGTGATAATTTTGGGTACTTTTAGTTATTGAAACGCAAGATTGTTATAAGGTCTCTGTAACAAAGTATCAAGCAGCCTTCACGCTCTACAAAACAGCGCTGGTATGCTTGTTATTTCATGACGCTATTATGTAAAGCTTACTTCCTTGATTGAGCGCCATACAACTAGTTCACTACTTTTTAACCCTAAGTAACCTGATATCATAATAGCGATCAATATATCAGTGTTATTTCAACAGGTCTGGATCAACGAAGCCGAGAAGACCGGACCGAGCAGTATACGTACCGCGTGCGTTACGAGGCGCAGACAATAGCTCCTCGGACGAGGCGAAGGCCGAACCCCAACGACGGAGCAGCCGCAGCGTTGAACCTAAGAGTCCTAAATCCCCCAGCGACAGAGACAAATCGGCGCACGGCACCCCCAAACGGTCCATAGACAAGAACTTCTGCAACGTATACACTCCCCCTCACCTCAGGAACCAGCGCTCTCAAACCGCGCCCAGTATAGCCGACCCAACAGACGACGACTCGCCTCCAGCCCTCGACTGCCCAGTGCCAAATAGTGATAGTGCAATATCGTGTAGTGATAATAGTTATAATGACGTAGAAGTAGGAGAGACATTTTATATTGGTGATTATTTTGCAAATGGACAGCTGGGTTTCTACAACCCTGCATACTACGAATACGATAGTAGGGACCTGGAGAGTTACGACGAGAGTTTCACTAATGATAACGTGACAATGGAGGACACTCAGCAAAGGATTATCGATGGTGACTACGTCTACAGCAAAGACCAGGATGATGAACAGAACGAGCTTAAACGAGCATCACAAGAGATTAATAGAAGTACTAAGAGAATTATAAAACAGAGTTTCGATTCTGATGTCTTAGTGATATCGGATCCGGTAGAAGAAGAGAAACAGACTGAAGTGGAGAAAGAGAAAGTAGTAGAGAAGAAAGCTAAGCCGAAGTTAGAAGCAAAGGTGTCTTTGAAACGCGATGAGAATGATTGGGAGACTGTGTACGATGATAGTGGAGAGTGTTTGGATCCGTCCCTTCTAGAAGAATTAACTTCTACCGTGGGGAAGGTTCATATAACTAAAGCTAAGAATAATTACGATCAGTACCAGACAAGAGGACAGGCTTTGTTCAATGGGCCGTATGATGAAACATTCGCTCATGTCGTGGAAGTTTATGACTTCCCCAGCGAGTTTAAGACGAACGATCTTTTGTCCCTGTTCAGCGAATACAAAGACACAGGCTTTGAAATTAAGTGGGTGGACGACACACATGCGCTTATAGTCTTCAGCAGCGCTAAGATTGGTGAGTTGTTTATCCTTGTATCTAGTACTAGCTGTTCCCGTGCGGCTTCAACGGCATGAAATTATCAAAATTTTATTAATATATTGATAGCAAATGTCAAAATGACATGACATGACAAACCTTAGCAGTCTTTCTTTCTTGATGTTGCCAGCAACTTATGGTTCGTTCCCACATTAAGGTTTTTATCCAAAATATTTACCCCCTAAGTTTAATGGCGTGAAAATATAAAGCTTTAAGCTTGACATATGTGTAGGGTTTTTTTATTTAAAAAAAGAATTATTCAAAAATATGCTGTAATTGCTCACATCTTAGGCAACAAAGAAGTGTGTGTTTACGCTTTATAATAGTAGTATAGATGTACCAAACTCTTAAACGGCTATAAACGTATATACATTTACAAATCTTTAAAGCCGTCTAGACTCTTGGATTGAAAAACATACCTGCTTGTATTCTTGATTATTATTGTATTATCAAAAAACAGATTAAAGTCCTTGCAGATTGTTGAAACTAAAGGTGTGTATATATATGTATTTCTTTGTAAATGTATAAATATTTGTGCAGGTGACTGTACATTGTATTTAATTTTAATTTACCTAATTAATAAGTAACAATAATACAATGAGTAAAGGTCAATGACTTTATTAATATTTATGAATATTATAACAGCCTTTTTCTATTTATTTATTTGTTCTTTCGAAGCCATTTTCATTGCAAAGGTCATTGAACTTTATAACAATGGAAAAAACACTGTTTTAAATTTGATACGTAAAATTGTTACTTTGCAATAACATGTTGACCGCATTAGTATCGACCTACTGAATTACTATGTTGAAACTGGCTTTTACGATTCGATAACTGTTATGTTATTGCTATATAAATGTTATTTGAATAACTTATTACTTCATCGAGTAACTTTATGCTTTACTAGCTGTTCCCGTGCGGCTTCATCCGCATGAAATTATAAAAACTTTATTTTATTGTTTCCATTTGTCAAATTCTCAATTGCAAATGTCAAAATTACCGTTACCATAAACCTTGCTTCCTTAATGTTGGCAGCTTGCAGTTTATGGTCCCTTTCCCACGTGAAGGTCTTTTTCTCCAATTTATTTACTCCCTAAATTTTATAACGTAAAAATATATAGCCTTAAGCGTGACGTAAGTGTAGGGATTTTTATTAAAAAAGGGATTATTTATAAATATGCTGTAATAGCTGAAATCTTAGGCAACAAAGAAGTGTGTGTTTACGCTTTATTATAATAGTACACATAGATTGGAAGTTATAGACACATTTTTATAAGCGTACTCATTAATAAATGACTTTAATACTAACAATGAAGATATATTGTTAATGACAGTCAATTTAGGATACTAACGTCTAAATGGGGAAGAATAGTACAGTCGGGGACACTGTCGGTGTTCAAACTTAAAAGCTACAATCGTTTTAATATTTTGAAATGATGACTCACAACAAAAACCAATATAACGCAGATTTTAAATGTGTCTGTACGAAAAAGGAGGCTTATTTCTTTTTACTATTATATTATCCCTTCCTTTGCACTCACTGCTATTTGGTTATTTGTAGGAAGACCCGGAGTTTGTCTCGTTGCAATGAATAAGGCATTTTTACCTAAGTGGGACACCGCGGATCTCCAAGACTGTACAACAGGTCATATGAGAGTGACATGGACAGATATATGATGCTTTTTCTTTGTATTTTTATTTCTTATCCTATGTGAACTTACTTGGTTGCACTGCAATCTTTTGTCGCAAAGCAATTGTTTCACAACTATAAGATTGGAAGCATTATGCAAGGATTGCATTGGCTGAGGCAATTGTATTGCAGAGCTGGAGTTACGTAAAGATCGGATCGAGATCAAGTGCGCTCAGGTTCTACGATACGGCTAGCAATTCACCTAACCGCTTTAAGTTATAAGCGATAGCGGGTGGCTATAAATTTTGTTTTCACATTTATGTTACATTATTCACCAACTACGGTTTAACTTTTGTATTTAACATTCATTTCTACTTTTAATTAATTTATTAAGTGACTTCTACGAAAAGGTTGGATCATTTTTTATATATTTACAAGTCTACGAGTTTACAAGAATGCACAAGTATGTCAAACCCGCTAAGTACGTATTTAATCATTTTTTTTTGGCGTGTGTCCCATTGTGCGTAGGATACTGGTTTTTATAACCCATAGCGTTTTATTTTTAAACTTACGTCTCATTATGTAAATGAAAATAAAAATCTTACCTCCGATAACTTGGACCACGCAACACTCTCGCTTTCGTTAGCGCGTTCCACATTTCACAAGCAATATTTTCATGCGAAACACAATCCAACGCTGCCTTGAACTTGAAACTTCGACTTTCATTACGTATTCATATCGTTCGCGATACGATGCCCGTTAGATCATTCTAATGGTATACATCATCCTGCCAAATTTGATAGACAGGTTATATTTATAATAGTTATTAAACAACTTTTACCAAATTAACTCGGATTATTCCCAACCGTCACCACGCTCTGTCCCCGTGTAAGAAAAAGTTTCATTCGTCCCACCTTTTAGTCCCAATATCACACGTAAGGTGACAGATGAAACTGTTATGAAATAAAATAAGTTCCAACCGTCAACTCGTCGCAAAAGGTGGGAAGAACGAAACTTTTATTCTCATTTGTCTCCACGTGGAGACAGAGTTGGGTGACGGTTGGGACTAATCCATTAACTACATGAAAAGATATATTTCGCATAGACATAGCCAATATCTTAGTTGTACAGCTACAAAAATATATTTAAATCTTCTTACTAATGTAATATTATAAATGCGAAAGTTTAGATGGATCTTTGTTAGAGTTTTTAGCCTAAATGGCTGAATAGATTTCGATGAAAATTAGCATAAATGTAGAGGTTAGTCTGGAAGAACACATAGGCTACTCACATTTGTTTTTTAATTCCATGCGGATCCAGTCGCGGTCAAATGCTAGTTTCTTTACATAGTACAAAGGGGCAGCGTTTCTCCTAATGCTATTTGATCCAACGCTCTAAACATCCACAACGCTAGGGGAAAGGTATTTATGTAAGTTGTCGGCCTCTAAGGGAGAAGTTTACTTGTATACGCCTTCAGTTTTAAATGTATGTATGGACTTATCTGTCCGTATGCTTCCGACTATAAATACCTACAAATCTATACTATTATAATAAAACGTAAACACACACTTCTTTGTTGCCTAAGATGTCAGCAATTACAGCATATTTTTGAATAATTCTTTTTTTAATAAAAAGCCCTCCACTACCGTCACGCTTTAGGCTATATATTTTTACGCCATTAAACTTAGGGGGTAAATATTTTGGTTAAAAACCCTAATGTGGAAAAGAGACCATAAGTTGCTACCAACATCAAGAAAGAAAGATTGCTAAGGTTTGTCATGTCATGTCATTTTGACATTTGCAATTGAGAATTTGACAAATGTAAACTATAAAATAAAGTTTTTATAATTTCACGCGGATGAAATCGCACGGGGACAGCTAGTATGTCCATACAAATGTTTGTAAATTATACGGGTTACTGTACAGTTTGAATTTCAACGGACTTTAAACAGAATTTACAATGACAAAAGGAAAAATTTGCTGTCTCTGTTTTGTCAAAAAGAATGAAAGTGATAGCAATAATTACAGTGGAATAAAGTACGTAATGAGGAAACAATCGTGAAATCAATACAAAACAATAGATAATTACTATTTCTACGCCACTTTATCTGACATTCCTAAGAGGGTATTCTTGTTCTTCCTACATTGTTAATCTGTCACTATGAGGAAGTTCTCAGACTATTGTGAGTGGGTATAGTTTTTATCTATAGGTAACTTATACGTAATTTAAATCTAGATATAGTATAAGACTAAGATTTAAATAAGTTTACTTTGTACTTGAATTAGACCTTCTCAATCCTCCTAGTGACATTGACAGCTGTCAGCTAGAGATGTGACGTTTATGCCAATAATCTAGTGTCACGCCAATTCTATAGCGCGGTACTAATTTTCTTGTTAACAGTAAGAAATGATATTAACTTAGAATTATCGATACATACGGTTGATAACCATCATGGAAGTGTGTATTCGAGCAAAAGGTCGATGTTATGCAACACTGCTAACCCTGTCAGGGATTACGGTAACATGCAATGGTTATGGTCGATTTGCTGAAGTTATCCGCTCATCATTACATCACGTTACCTAACGTTGCACTCGACTGGACTTCCTCAAACAGTGCTGGAAAGTGGGTTGTTGCAATATCGAATTTACGATCCAACTACCTGACTACAAAGGTAGAGGAAGACCGGAAGTATGGATATATTGTGTTAAAGAGGATGTGCTTATGGCTGTGAATTCAGATATAACGGCTGATAGAGATGTATGGAAGAGTACTTACTGTGCCTACCCTCTGTAAGGACCACGGCAAGTTAATAATATTGGAAAGAGGAAATATTTGTATTTTTCTTTCACCATTAAAATTAAAAAGCTACGTTATCAGTGAGTGACATAGGCTATATTTTTATTATTTTTTAATACCACGCGGACGAAGTCGAGAGCAAGTCATTCATAATTAAGAAGACTAGAATTTTCGTAACTTTATGTTAATACTCGCTTTAGCCCGCGGCTCCGCCCCCGTGGGATTAAGAAAACAAAATTGAGTAGCCTATGTGTTCTTCTAGACTATCCTCTACATCTATACTAAATTTCATCGAAATTCGTTCAGCCGTATAGACTCTAATAAACATCCATCCATCTAAACTTTTACATTTATAATATTAGTATTAAGTATGATTAAAGAGCGCTCTTACTTTAACTTTGCCCACCGTTGTCCTTTTACTGCTGACACCTTTTTTTCAATTTGGTCAATATGAATAGTTTTGTGTTTTTTATGTTATGTATATTTATAACCAGACCCTTTATATTTCGATATTTCTTATGCAAGTTATAAAATGATGTGACCATAGCAGTGCTTTGGCCTACTTTCTTGTTGCGTCAGCGCGGACGTTGAACTGCAGGGAAGTAGGCTGTAGCCCGCGTTTTGTATTGTGTTTACTTCTGTTTATATGATATATGAACTGATTATCTATATAGATTAGTATTTCATAACCCTGTATCTTACTAATATAAATGCGAAAGTTTAGATGGATAGATGTTTGTTAGAGTATAGCCTAAACGACTGAACGGATTTCGAAACTTGGTGTTGATGTAGAGGATGGTCTGGAAGAACACATAGGCTACTTGCTTTTTTTTAATTCCACGCGGACGGCGTTGCAGAATAAAGCTAGTATAAAACTAATTCATTTATGGGTAGATAGAACAGTGTAAAGATAATTTTTTGGTCCAAATGGCTTGGACAATTAGCATTTATGTTTTTTTTATCTATCTATCGTTAGAATTTAGTAGTTTTGTATGATTTCAGAACATGTTTTTACCTTACCTTCTTATATTACTCGGAATCCTAGTAAATTCGGATTTGGAGTATGGCCAAATGTCGCATCGTGTTCGAATGCGGGGTCATTGCCGTTGCGGAGTTTTTAAACCGGTTTTGTATTGAAACATGCTGTATCATGGTTGTCATCGTTCACCTCGCGTTACATACTTGTACTCAAATGCAGAATTCGGAGTAATTTACCTAATTATCATTCTGTTTAGTTTTTACTCTATGACATGACTTTGACAAATGCGTACAACTTATCCTAAGGATATTTGTGCATTTATTTTTATTATAATCTCTTAAAATATAATTATTTTTTTATTTTTTCAGCTGCTGAAGTGCTGTCAACACAGCGGCCACTAGCGCGGTGTCGACCACTTCACGCCGCCACATTAGAGTCTAGAAACAAGGCCAAAAAATGCGCAGAATTCCTGCAACCATACAGGTACGTTAATATAATAAAGCCGTATTGTTGATTGCGTCAAAAATAGCAACTTTTCAGGAGAGAGAAAATCTGCATACTTTAAATCTTACAGTGGTAGAGCTCGCTGTAACATCTTTGCCTGAATGGGTTGGCTCGCCCGGTGTAATACCACGACCACACAGAAGACAGGCGTGAAGAATTCCGCGCTTAATCTGACGAGTGTGGTGTCAGAGGCCCAACTTTAGTCCCGTTGCCTTCTTACCCCTTTTCTTATAAGAAAAGGATGGGAAGGGAACGTGAATTTGACGGTGGCGACGCTTAGGAAGGAGAAACATTCTCTTATGTGCGTCTCCTCCGTCAATTAAGGGTAGGCAACGCATTCGCTATTGCGAATGTCTATTGGCAGAGGTCGCTTCGCCAGTTTGGCGGATTCAGCTGGCCGCTTGCTCGTTTGACACCTTATTATATAAAAAAAAATACTTTTGTAAAGATATTATAGTAATACTGGTTTTACCATCTTTATAAAAGAAGACTTTCGATTCTTAGAATGACATCAAAATAGTCATAAAATTACTTACTTGGTATTAAAACTTCAACGAGGCTGATGATGTTGATGATGATGAATTCATTGTGTGTAAAACCAGTGGTATAAGGATGGATATGTTTGTGTGTACTGCAGACAGCGTCCCGAGACGTGTACTGCGCTGGCGCGGCGGCTGGTGTCGGGCGCGCTGGGCGTGCGGCTCAGCACGGCGCGGCAGGAGCGCGCCGAGGAGCGCCGCCTCATCACCATCGCTAGAGGTACACATACTAACGGACTACCTAACTAATCTGAATTAATGTAATCTAGTACCATTATCAAATTCTTCTTTATTTATTGACTAGCTGTTCCCGTGCGGCTTCGTCCGCATCAAATTATAAAAAAACTTTATTTTATTGTTAACATTTGTCAAATTATTAATTTCAAATGTCAAAATGACATGATATGATGATAAAATATGGCAATCTTGCTTTCTTGATGTTGGCAGCAACTTATGGTCTCTTTCCCACATTATTTATATCCAAAATATTTACCCCCCTACGTTTAATGGCGTTAAAATATAACTGTAGGGCATTTTATTAAAGAAAGATTTATTCAAAAATATGCTGTGATTGCTGACATCCTACGCCACGAAGTGTGTGTGTGTGTTACGCTTTATTATATTAGTATAGATAAAAATACACACTATTTACACAAATTCATAAAATTGCATTTGATAAAAATAAAATGTTAAATCGCTCTCGGTACATTTTTCTCTGCTACATTCATATTTCGTTATTTTTTTTTTATATACAATTGTCGTCTAATGCTATCTTGGCGGCCAGCATTATATTAACTATTGCATAACTAGATCATTTATATGAAAAATTATACTTAATGGTCTTTGAAAAATTCTTTTTTTTTTTCGTAATTGACACTATTTTTTTTTAATTACATTGAATTTAACATATTTGCAATTTAACCACAAATATGTTAACGAGTGATATGTGGTTTTGACTAAATCGTTGTTATTCGAGGTGTCATTTCACTTATATTGTTAAATTAGATTTGTATTGTTTGTAACGTTTTAAGTATGTTTCACGAAAAGTTACGTCTAGAATTATTCCCAAATAAATTGTTTTCTCAATCATATAAAGAAACGGGAGAAATGGAATAATTTAATAATGTTTTATAATTTCGTCGTATTTCAGAGAAGAAACGTCAGGCGGCGCTGCACAAGGAGGCGGCGTGGGACGGCTCCCTCGCCAACCACTCTCTCACTGACTCCTGAGGTGACAATATACCAAAGATATACAAAAAATATATATAAAAGGGCATATTTATCGCTTCCTTTACATATATTTTACTTTTTTACAAGCTGTTGCTCGCGACTTCGACCGCGAGAAATAAAAAAATGTAGCCTATGTTACTTACAGATAAATTTCTAACGGTGAAAGATTTTTCAAAATCGGCCCAGTAGTTTTTGAATTATTTCAATACATACAAAAATCAAACAATCACTAATTAGTGTGTGTTTACGCTTTATTATGTTAGTATAAAGTACTAGCTGCTGTTAGTGACGTCGTCTGCGTTAAAAAACATAGCCTTTCCTCTTTATGAAGAACATCTCATTGTTTCCGCCGTTCGTTTGCCCTCTTTGCGTGTGAAAATATATATACTAGCTGTTCCCGTGCGACTTCATCCGCATGAAATTATGAAAAAAATGTTTTATTGTTTACATTTGTCAAATTATCAACTACAAATGTCAAAATGACATGACATGACAAACTTTGGCAATCCTAGTTTCTTGATGTTGGCAGCAACTTATGGTCTCTTTCCCACATTAGGGTTTTTATCCAAAATCTTTACCTCCTAAGTTTAATGACGTGAAAATATATAGCCTAAAGCGTGACGTGAGTGTAGGGCTTTTTATTAAAAAAAGAATTACTCAAAAATATGCTGTAATTGCTGACATCTTAGGCAACAAAGAAGTGTGTGTTTACGCTTTATTATAATAGTATAGATATATTAATATATATTAGTATATTATTTACAATCGCGGAAATCCGCGGTGTCCCGCTTTCTGATTATCTTGTTTTAATAATAAAAACTTCTAAAATGTCATTAAACATTTCCAGATTGCCTGAAACCCGCGCAGGCGCATTTCCAGGTCAAGTTCTCGCTGACCGTAAGCTCTCAAATATATTGTTTTAAATAGATATTTTTCTAAAACGAAACTCCTAGTAAATAAGAGGCTCCCGTCCTTATGTCTATTGTCGTAAGGTTTAAGATTTAAGATGTTTTGTGATTTCATTGTGCTTCCTAGCGCATAGTATTATTTTTCTTATTTCTATATTGAAAAGATTTTTAAATATATACGATTGAAATTGCGTTGTTGCTTTACCGAATACTTGGATTTTTTTTTATTTTTTAAAATTAAATGTAGTTTTTTCTGTGGGTATTTGTTAAAACCGTATAATAGTGTAATGTGTTCGTATAATATAAACCAAATATATTAGAAATCAAATTAAATTTAAGTTTATATTTATTTCGTTGTGATTCGTGCCTTTCGTGTCTAGTCTAATTGTTGGGAGCCTCTTAGTGTGTAGTGTAGTCGGCCAGGGTACTGACTGGCCAGGGTAGGGTAAAGATCACGTGACAATTTATATCGTCATTCATAAATACCTTATTTCTATATAAATGTTGAATTTAAATACAATTATTATTAAATTTGCTTTATACAAAGAGTTCATATATTGAGAAATTTCAACAGTATTTTTCAAAAAATCTTTGGGAATTTACATCGTAGTAATTATCATTTACTAGCTGTTGCTCGCGACTTCGCCCGTGTGAAATTTAAATACCATAAAAAAAATTAGCGATGCTTTTTGAGGCACTTTTTGAGTTATTACATTATATAAAAAAATACAAATCTTTCCTCTTTATAATATTAGTATTAGATAACAATTTAATGTTGTGTTTGTATGTTTGTGTTTATGTTTAACGCATTTTATCATATTTGTTAAGCAGGTGGTTAATTGAAATAATGATAAATCTATGCAAAGTATGAATATTGGTCGCCATTTTGATTTTTGCTGTCAGTTGAATGTGCAATATTTTACCTCATGCCATATTTCACCTTCATTATATAAAGACAGTATTTCAAATGTATGCATAATATTCAAAGTATTAGGAATCTCAAAATTATAATTTGTGTATGAAAACTTATGTTTGGCTTTAAATTTGCGTGTTAAGGAATAGTTTAAACTCTAATATACATTTGAATAAAAAACAATGAAGCAATATATTCAATATATAACGTATTTCTTAAATAATAGACGTTTTAAATACTAGAATTATGAATGACGATATCGATATTGCTAGGGTACCCAAAATCCACGCTTAAACCAATTTATATGAAATTGAACACCACAGGGTGTTTATGACGTCACAAATAGAACCGTTTTGATAGTCAATGCAATAATTTAAAAATAGTTTAATTTTGAATTAAATACTCAGAGACAAATGGTCAATAAACGTCTCCGATTGTAGTAACCGATACTAACGGCCGAATACTGGAACGACATTATGATAGCAGCGTCCATAATAACGCCACGTTTACAGTTCAAATTCCTTTAAATTTTTGACAACTGTGTATTTTTAAAACAATTATTATATTTGTTACTAGCAATATAAATTAAACACTGAACTAGCGGTCCCGTCAGGAATGCGCGCGAATATCAATCCTTTTTGACATTGACAGCTGTCAGTTAGAGATGTGACGTTTATGCCAATAAACCAGTGTTGCGCCAATTCTATAGCGTGGTACTAATTTTCTTGTTAACAGTATGTAGCGGGCTTAAGATTTGTTCCAGTATTCGGCAATTAAAACCTCTCTTATCGAGTGATTTATTTGTCTTGACTATCGAAATGTGTGATTTTAATTGTGCATGAACTGGAAATGTATTTGGACGATGAAATGTTATTTAGCTAGAAATATATATTTTTATAAGACTGACATTAGCATGATATCAGCCTCGAATAAAAATGCCAACTCTTCCGCGTCAATTGAATGAATTTTTAATGTTTAATAGTGATTTATACAACTAATGTTAATTGGTCCTTCGAGACGGATTTTAGACAGAAATCAACTGTCATTGTGAATGCGGTATTGTCTGAGTATTTCGTAATGCTCACGTTAAAATTAAAAGCAATAAACTCGTCCGATACATTTCTAGAATGTATTTGTTATAGATATATAATTGTTTTGTATAGATAAGTATGGATGCTGCGGACCACGAGATTGTCCTTGACGTGTGCGTCTATAGCACTTGATAACTGCTATAAATGCATACAAGAGTATATTTGTAAAATATGATAAACCCTTGTGAAATAAAAGAATTGGTAACTTGGTAAACCAATCAATTGTCCACTTAAAAAAATAAAACTAAATTGACATAACTTTTTACAGTTTAAGACCTATAAAAATCTCAAAATATTTGCATATTTTGTTGTTTTCAGATTTAGTATGGTGTTTTATTTTTAAGGGTTTATCTATATTTTTAATTATTATGAAGTCATAGATTATATATTGGTGTTCATAAATTTGTTACTTTTTAGTGAAATTGAATATATGTAACAATTTTATGATCCCGTATCGAGTGAGGTTTGTCGACTAATTGAATTGAATATGTAAACGATTCAACGAGGCTCGGTCTGTACAAAGAGATGCAAATTATTTTTGTAACATCTTGAGATTCTATTTGAAATAAAATTGAATTTGTCCGTTTTTGATGTTTTATTTTTATACATTCTTCAAATTCTGAAAGACGCAGAATGACTACGCTTTATTTATGACTGTTTATCGAACTTCACCGAAACCATATATTTTAAACACCTAAGTGTTAAATAAAAAAAGTTGTCGCCCAAAAATACAAATTGGATATAAAAAACTACTTTTCTCACTCCATACTAAGCCTAGATTATCGGGTAGCGATGTTTAGGCATAGATCCTAATCCTGAATGCAAAAGTGAGGCAAAAAAATAATAGAGGGGCTTTTGTTCGGGTAAATTCCCACTTACACTACGCGCGTTTAAATAAGTAAATTTACCTGGAAGTGAAATTAACTTGATGTATTAACCATCTTCGATACCCTTGGAGTAAATAAGAACTTCCTTGCCTCTTGCATTTAGTCTTCATTGTGACAATGTTTCCGATAGACATAATAGAAAACTATGCTAAGACGTAGTCTCGGAGTAAGAAAATATTATCAACCGATATTAAACACAACTGGCAGTTTGAATGATCTCTACAATAAACTGATTCCTAAATCCAAACCCAGACATAACTATTCTTATTAATAAAACAAAGCGTGTTTTAAAAATCGATGTAAACAATATTAATATGTTAACTGTAAACAAATAACAAAGACATTGTTAACACAATCAGTAGCCATCGTCTCTGGACGCGGGCCTCATGTAGCTATGCTACGTGTTGTCTTCCTGCTGTTAATAATGGAAGGAAAATTATCTTATAACGTAAAACGGACTCTTGTGACCATAACACAGACGGAAACATCCACAAAACCTAGCAATATAACTAAAGATCTCATCACAGTTATCAATTCGACAGTATCCGTGACGTTTTCCACGAAAAGTTTCAGTTCACCGATCTCAAATTCTAGTAGGACAACAAGAAAAGAAAATCGGAAGAGAAGTGGACAGACAAAATTGTATCAAAAAACTGTGAAAAACAAAAATGTACGAAAATCAATTATACCATTTACTGAAGCACCATTATCGATATTATATTTGAAGAAAAAATCTGAACCTCACGTCAAAAAATCTATAACAAAAGCGAATCAAGAGGCAACTACAGCGAAGGAGCGAAAGCAAACAATGAAAGCCAATACTAAACCAGCAAAATCAACGTATACTAAATCAAGACAGAAATCTACCTCTCCACGTCCTATCAAGCCGAGTTTTGTTTATAACTCACAAATATACGAACCTATCCATGAAGAGGATTCCGAACTGGAAACTTACAAAGATCCATATTATACTGAAGAAATTGTACCTTTACGTTTAACAAGCGATACATTTGGTAATAAAAGAATCACTTATCTAAGTTCAAAATACGGCAGTGACCCTGACAATCCTGTATTCGGCGACCAAGCATTCTTTTCATTTATTTTAAACGATTATTTTGATAGAAATATCGAAGATGAACCAAAACTAATGGAAGATGTTCGCTGGGGTAAAGATTTCGATAAAGAATTAACAGCTAAACGTGATGCGAAACGAGTGAGGCGATTAGAAAACTATTACACTCAAAGTACCACAGAAACAACGAAACCTGATACAACTGAATCAAAATATATAATGGAGGCTGAACAAATTATAAAAAGTTTAACAGCAAAACCTATTAAAAAAGTTACAGACAGTCATAGAGAATTTAAAACTATCGTGGACATGTTTGCTTCGAAATTCGGATCGTATAATAAAAGCAATGAAACATTCTTCTTAAGGAAAAGGGATAAAAGAAACGAGACGATGTTTGAGGAGAAAGATGAATTACAAGAAGCTGGAGAATTACTTTTAGCGTTAGTAGCTAATTATAATAATGAAAATAAAGTAGATGAAAACGAAAATGAAAATGTTCTGACAACCTTAAGTGAATTTGAGCAGTTTTTGAATGCACACGAAACACAGTCTGAGAGCAAAAGAGAAGATTACAAAGACCCATCGAATGCTCTAAGTCGGTTGAGACATGTCGCTAAGAACGTTGCGCTTGTAAATAATGCAGATTATATCGATACTTTAGAAAATATGCTTTATAAAAAGTGAATTACAATTTGATATTTACTTCCCGTATTTTAGGATCTGTGACAAGTATTTAAAAAAAGTTTTACGTTTATGGATCAGTTATGACTTATTTTCTAATTTTAAGATTGTTATTATACACGATTTTAGTAAGAACATGATAAAAAAAGGATTTATACGTTTTGTTTATGTAATTTAAACTACTGTGAACTTTGTTATTATACATTTTATTATTATTTCACATAAAAGATGTTTATAAAAGAATTGTATTTGATTTTTTTTGTTATCTTTGGACAAACGGGGCTTAAACCATTTAAACTAAAGAGGTTAATTTTAAATGGTTATTTTATGATAATATTTTAGGGTTTACTTAAAGAAGAAAATTTTTGTTTTTCCATACTTTAATAAAAATTTACAATATCTAAGGACTAGTATATCCCCTGATACGGTATCCAGTGGTATAGAACATAGAAAGTCGGTGTTTTAGAAACATCAGCCAACAGTTGGATAAAAACATCCAGTTCTTATTATCAATATTTATGCCAAAGTACAATTGCCTTCGAACACACATTTAACATTTATAAATAAAGTGAAATATCTTAACTTAATAAAAATATCATAACTATGGTAAAGGTTTTGACGCATATATGTTGAGTCTCGCTTTGATTCCTATGAGCTTCTATGGAGGTGAGCAGACTACTCTATTTTTAGTTGTGCAAATAAACATTTGAATTAGCTGCGAAATAAACGACAATCGCACAACAATTGTACAATTGTTTAGTCAAAGGTTTGATCCCGCTCTTATACGGTAATGTTATATTGCCAGAAAGTGTTAAGACTGAATGTGGATGGCTACAAAGGAAGAGGACCGAAGAAAGTATGGATGGATTGTGTGAAAGAGTATATGCTTAAGATAGGAGTGGATTCAGATATGACGGCTGATAGAGATGTATGGAAGAGTAGACACTGTGCCGACCCTCCGTAAGGGATAAGGGCAAGTGGATGATGATACGGTAATGTTATGTTAAAAGCGTATTCAGATGAGGAGAGCACAGAAATACAATATAGTGACTAAAACCATTATGTTTTATAAATTTTATTTGACAAATAAAAAACCTTTAACATAATTATCAAATAAGATAGGTAGAAAGTGAAACAAGAATTTTCCCTAAATGTTAGCATACATATTTCAAATTCACCCTTTTTTAATAAATCAAATAAACAATGAAAACAAATAACAAGGAATTAATCTTGCGTGAAAGATGGTGCATTATTTTTTCAATCTATCGCTTTTCCTTGTCGGAATCTGTGGAAACATTGGCAGGATACTGAGAACTTTGTCTACTATCAGTGAAGTTTTCTCTCCTAACTTATCCATATAAATGCCGATATCCCACGGGGATCTGACAGTTCTAATAGAACCTCTTCGCTCTCTTTCGCCACTCGCATCCGTATCATCGCTCAAATCTTCCTGTGAATAAACAACTTTCATCAGTTTCCCTGGAATTTTTGACGTCAATTCATCATAATAATCCTCAATTTTAGATTTACTAGATTTATCAGTAGCTTTGTCACTCACTTTGTTTTCACGTTTATTCTTAGTTTGCGGCGTTTTTGTACCTTCGTTACCTTTTATATCGGCAGGTGTTGGTTTAGTTTCCATCTTTGACGTTTTCATTTCGTAATTTTTATCCGGTTTCATTCTTGGTACTAGAGGTTTTCTTCTTGATGCGAATTCGTCGTGATTGACGTCGAATTCGTAATCATCCACATTGAAATCTTCGTCTTCGTTTTCGCCAGAATCTCTATATTTCTCCGGCCAACGGACTTGTCTTGTCTGATAATCGTCTTCGTAGTTAATTTCTACATACATCGGTATAGGTTTCTTTACTAATGGTATTTTCCCTTTCTCGACGGACCTTTTAACGTTGTTAGTTTGATCGACGGTATAATCGACATACGAACGGCTTTTCCGGTGAAGTTTTTCATGGTCGTGGAGACAGTGTTTCGTTATCGAGACTGTTTTGAAATCATCATTCTTGGCGACGATGGCTCTTTCCGTGGTCCTCGCAAGCAGCCGCGCTCTACACTCGAGGACATAGGAAATCGCGATGTAGACAAGAATTATGTTTCTCATTGCTACGTTCTGTATGTTGCTATGGCCGTGTTCCGACTAGTGGGAACCGTATTGATTCAAAGTATATTATAAACAAGAAATGTTTTAATAACTGACGTCCCAGTGACAATGTAGTCTTCATACAAATACACTCTGAGTTATAAACAATATTTTTATAACTCTATGTTGAATCACTATTGTCATGAGATGCAGCGCTACGATTAGGGTTCCGTCTTTCCTATGATCATTTTCTACTTGTACATTTTGTTGTATTTTGACTTTTTTAATCTTTTACTGGAGAAAATCAAAAACATTAACTACAATGCTAACCACAACACTAAAATGTAAAACTTTTACTGATAACGAATTCACGGAACATTGCATAAGAATTACAGAAGCTAGAGCTTATTGTGGAACCGTAAAATATAGAATAAGAAATTTGTATTAAAATTTAAGTCCACATCACAAAAGTAGTAGATAGGCGCGTATTTTACAGCGCCAATGTCATGTCATCTGCCAATTCGTGTTGTACTGAAGGAATTTGTGTATTTTTCATTTCTTTTTGACCGACTTCCCAAAAGAAAGAGGTACTCAATTCGTCTGTATGTTTTTTTTTTCAAACACTTATCAACAAGGTTACTATGTTTGATCTGATGAAACGAAAATAGTTTCGCCCCTAGCAATTTCGCATAGCAATGATATATGGATGGATGCCTTGAAAGGTGACATAATAAAGAATTGAGTGACAAATAAATCTGAATGTCCCAGCCTAGACAAAGAAATTGTATATGATGAGTTTTGCCTAGCAAGAGAAATAAAATGTGCTGACTGCATATGTTGGCGAGAACAAAAATGCGATATTGCTAGTATATTTTGACAGGCTCAGCGCCGGAATAACTCTTTCCATACGATTATAAGTGGCCTAAAGTTCAGTGTTACCCGGGAGTCATTTTAGCCGAAATTCAGCAATGTACTATTTCTAATAAAAAGAAACATACCATCATAACATGAAGGAATAATAGGAAAAATATTAATAAATAAACAAGCTATACTAAGTCATCAATATGAACAAATGTTAATGATATTCGATGATTAATATATCTGAGCACAATGTATACTTGTTTACAGTCATCTTCGTAAACAAACAACGAGATCGCAAACAAAACGTTTTATAAAATTGTAAAACCAGTTTACTGCTCCTGCCATTCTGTCGACTAACAAGATGAAAGTCACATTAAAATTGATCAGTGTCTTCTTTTATGTCAATTATTTTCCGCGAGTTCTAACAAACTACATCTACGATGAGATCGCTAATGTTGCTAGTTTCCTACCGTCTACCGGTGCAGACATACCCTACACAAGACCGAAACTCAACGGACATAAGAAATTCTTCATTACCAACGGAAACCCTAAATTTCAAAAGCTCATGAACGAACGTTCAGTCGAATCACATTTCAAATTCGTTAAAAATGGATTCACGAACCCTTTAATGTCAACAGTCAACGGTGAAGATATACGCAATCTACAAAAGTTCACAGTGCCTGCAAATCTACGAGAGGAACTAATTAAAGATGGGATCAATACGAAACATGTACTATCTCACGATATATTCTCCGAAGACAATAGAAATATCACCGCAACAAAGAAACCTACAGACATTCTAGACGAAAGTTATAGAAATGGAAAGAATTATGAAAGGAAAGATATTTACATAACATCGTATAGCGAAAGTCAGAATGTTATAAATCTAAGCCAACGTCCGAGAAACCCTCCATCTGCAAAACGATCTTCAGGATTCACACACAAAATGCAACCACAGTTAAAAATAAATAAATCCATACAAAAATCAAACACAAATGATGAGAGTTCACCGAACATAAGACGAGTTAACGACAAAGGTGGTAAACTAACAGATAAAATACAACAAAAGACTGGCAGGAAAAGAGACATTAATACTAATGAAGATGACATTTACGGTGAAAAGACCAAATATTACACAGTATTAGACAATGTGATAACTTTGAAACGTGCTCCTATAGAACAGGGTATAATGGAACATATAGCTGATGAAAATATCGATGTAACGAATAGTCCATATGCGGTCTTTTACAGAATGAGCCCAGATATAACAGACCAACAGGATGGCTATATGGTTATGAATTCTCAAGACGAACGCACAAATACTCTATATAAGGAACGGGAAGCGACTATGAATTCCGATAATCAAATAGAGAATGGCAAAAGTAATTACAGGAAGTACTCTAATAATGGTAGAATACATGGTAAAGTGAAGAATTTCTCTAATTTTAGAAACTTTAAATAGGTTCGAAGCCATTTTAATAGATTTGTTATTTCAGTCTTAAAGAACATAATAGATAAGTGGAAATAAATAATTTAATTTGAACATGTAAGTTTTATATTGATAGAAATTGTGTGAAAACAAATTGTACACTTTCTAATTGCATGTATATTGTTAACATCTACTATTAAATTTTTATCTAGCAAAGTTTTTTTTTTCACATTTACTATTTTAAGTTACATATCCGTACAAATACTTTTATACTCTTAAAAGAACATTTGCTATTCGGACCCTTGATGGTATCTCTTTAAGAATACATTGTTTTTTATGATAATAATTTTACATAAATAAATTATCTTCATTAGCGCAGATTAAGCCTTTTAATTGAAACCAGTTAAATTCGCGCACGCGCGTTTTTTTGCGACAATCAATCAGAGGCAATGCACCGTATAAATAACACAGGGTTTTTCATTATCATTGACACAGAAGAGCGTTGCTCAATCGCGAGAGTGCTATAGAATCGGGTCATTTACGAATGTCAGCTAAACAGGCAACTCACTATATAAAAGTTTGTCCAGTCGTCGATCGTCATTACCGTCAAAGTAGCCGACATGATGCGGCGCATTCCCTTACTGATAATATTCACTGTCGCCTCCTGCATGGAGATGCGGGAGACAGTCGAGAGGATGGTCATGGTCCGCACTACAGGATCTGACCTTCAACCGGCCGCAACTGGATATATCTACAAAAAACAGAACGATGGTCTCGCTAGTGTTATCAAAATGGATGAAGATGAAATATTAGAGCAACTGTCTAAGTTCTACGATCACCCGAAAGTGTTTGCGGCTCACGACAAAGAGGCCGCAGATCAAGCGGATGAAAGCAAAGAGGAGTCACGCAAGGATGCGCATGTCATACCAGTTGTGGAGAAACACGAAGAGAACGATGGTCACATTGATGGCATAGCCGATGAAGAATATCCGAAGAATTACGATAGTTACGAAAACTATAAAAATAATTTTGAGAAATACCTCCACGGTTTGAAACATTACAAAGATGGACTCTATCACGGATATGGCGGAGGTGATAGCTACGGAGCTAATGGACATCATGGGTACGGTGATAAGGGATACAAAGGGTACGGGGGAGAAGACTATTATGGCAAAGGAGGCGCCGGAGACTACCACAATAAGAATTACAAAAGCTTCTACGTATCAGAAAAAAGTGGTCACGGGAAAGATTATGACGAAGCCGATAAATACGGTAAACATTACGGAGAAGGTCACGGAGAAAAAGGGGGAGACCATGGACATAAGGAAGGGCACAGCAAAGGAGAGAAAATCGAAGGCTTTCATAAGGTCTTCGATAAGAACGAATTCAAGAAAGACAATGACTTTTACAATGGTGAAGGACACAAAGGAGATTTCAACAAGTTCGGCAAGGGACACGAGCACCATGAAACAACTGACGGAGGGCATAAAAAGGGAGAGTCCCATGATTCAGGACATGCAGAAGGAGGTTCAGAGAAGGGAGGACACTTCGAGAAGGAATCTGGCGCAGAACACGATGCCGGCCATTCAGCCGAGGAAGGAGGAAAGTCTGAGCAGCATGGAGACGAGGCTAATGGAGCTAAGGGCGGCGCAATCAAGGGCCAGACCTACGGCTACGAAGTCAAGCACTGAAATATTTACATTTATTATAGTTTTGTTGTGTTATAGTAGAGTTTTGTAAATATTTAGATATAAAGATAAGAGAAGCAACCAAATGTATTTAATTTTTTACTAATTTTTATTTTGAAAACAAAAAAACCTTAAGTAATTCTTTAATATTGTTATTTTATTTATTTTTGCACATAGGTAAATGACCACATAAATAATGAAGCTTCAGATACCTTGTTTAAAATTTTCATTGAAAAACCAAATTTTGTTCATATAATGAATATCTGAACTTATTTTGGTAGAAATAAAAATTGTAGTTGAGCAAATTTAAAAAAAATGCTAGAAGCAAAGTCTGACTATATAAAAGCCCTCTCACGAAATAACTTCCGATTAATTTAAAAAACCTATTATATACCTTCATCTTTTACTTAATTCCTCTCTCCTCTCTTCCCAATATTATCACTTCAAAAGTTTACAGTTTACATGGATGTATGGATGTTTGCTAGAAGGTTTCTCCAGAACTGTTCAACAGGTCTCGATGATGGCACAGATGTAGAACATAATCTGGTAAAACCACACAGGCGCTGTCGCGGAAAAAAGCAGTTAAGTAAAATTACGAAAATTCTGTAGGGTACTATTATTTGCTAATCAAAATTTCAAAGGGGTAGAGAATTCTGAAAAGAGAAAGAATAAGCACCCATATTTTTACTCTATGACTGAAATCCAAAGGATACCGCAACGTCTATATTCTGTTAGGTATCTATACAGCCGGATCATGTAGTACCTACCTACGCATTCCTAAAACCGTACTATTTATAGTCTATACTGATAAAGAGGAAAGATTTGTATTTTTGTATGTATTAAAACAACCCAAAAACTATTGCTACGTTATCCGTGAGTAAAATAGACTATTTTTTTTTAATTTCACGCGAGCGTAACCGCCAACAACAACTATAGACGAATATAAAAAAAAACATACAGACGAATTGAGTAGCTCCTCCTTTGGGAAGTCGGTCAAAAAAGAGATAAGACAAAATGCAATACTAAATGAATGTCGACACACCTTAATTCCCTTCAATATGTATCCTAAAAGTTGAATTTCGATGTTAAATATTCTATTTCACTATCTGGCATTTAATTTGGCAGATTCAAAGAGTTTTCGACGTGCCAGACGTGCCAACTCAAGCAATGAGATACTAAATAAAAGTTTATTTTTTAATATCATACGGTGGCAAACGAGCATACAACGAAGCGACCGTTGTTCATAGACATCCGCAATTGCAGATGTGTAGCCCACTCACTGACGGAGTACGTATAGAAAGCTGTTTCCCCTTTCTATTCGTCTCCTCCTCCGCCAAATACACTCCGCTTTCGCATCCTTTCCTTATAAGAAGAGTATGAAAGGAAATAGGATTAAAATAAGGGCTTCGAAATATACGCTCATCAGTTAGACATTCAAATTCAGATATTTAATACAAAATTGGTATGAAAGGCAAACAGATTTGAGTCGTATCGAATTCTATGTAATATGAGCAGTAGCTACTACGTATTCGTAATTATAAGACATAAATATAGATTTAATTATGAAATTAGTTACGTTGCAAAATATCGGAAAAAGCTGACAATTTTGTGGAACTTAAAACACTTGTTTACCATAGCACTAACAGCGCCCTGGGCTGGATTACTTTGGCTGTTTTTATCTGTGCGGGCGCCTAAACGCGCTCTACCCAAGAACCGTTACTACACACGTTTAACATCAACGTTGAGACGACTGCATATTACATATTTTCATATACTATCCTCCTAGGATGCAATAAGTAAACTAGTTAAACATACATAACTAAGCATCGTATAGTAAGTTTAACAATTTGAATATTAATAATGCAAACAAGAAAAAACCATTTCACGCTGATTTGGCTGCGGTCGACGCGCGCCGCGGTTTCACAATGATCATTTTTTCATTAGCAATGTCTTTGTCACCTATAACCTCGTTAATAAGCTATCTGGTACATGGCTACAAGAAAGGTAGCAAGCACACTCACGGTCCTTCCTTCGTGCTTCGAGCAAATATAAATATTGGGCAACGGGCTGAGTAAAGTATAACGAAACAGTTTGCTGAGCTGAACACATCTCAACATGAAGATGATCGCTGGTGTTGTATTCGCTCTGGCGTCCGCTACGGCGGTGCAGGTTGGCTTTGCGCCTGCAGCTACTAGCTACATCTACAGAAGCGACAACGGCGGCCCTGGGAACCTCGTCCAGCTGGGACCGCATGGCTACGAGCAGCCACAGCTCTACGCACCCTTACCTCTTCAACAACCAATCAAAGCCCTCGAGGCATACGACCTTGTGCCGGCGCCTTTACCCTACATCGCCGCTAAACCTATTGCGGTTATAGACGCAGAAGATGACGAAGGTTCCGACGAGGAATCAGCTGAGTACAACGGAGGACATGGACTCGGGTACGAGAAAGGAGCCGGCAGCGATTATGGCGAGGAACATCACGCCGTACACGGTGAGAAGGGCAGCAAAGGCTTCAACACTAAAGGTCACCACGAGAAGGGACAATCCGGCAGCTACGGCAAGGAGCACGGTGAAGGTTTCTACGAAGAAGGTGATGGTAAGAAGAAAGCCTTCCATGACGAGGCCGGCGCTCACGGCAAGCATTACGAAGCGGGAAAAGGTTACAAGGGGGGAGATCACGGACACAAGAAGCACTTCAGCAAGGGCGAGGAGGTGACCGGCTACCACAAGGTGTTCAACAAGGATGAATTCAAGAAGGACCACGACTTCTATGACGTAGCAGACAAGAGCGGACACTTCAAGAAGCACGGCTACGAAAACAAGCACCACGGATCCGAGGCGAGCGGTCACAAGAAGGGTGGACAGGGTGAGTCAGGCTACGACAAGGGTGATTTTGGAAAAGGTGGATATTATGCTAAGGGTCATGTTGACGATGATCATGAGGGTCACTCTGCTGAGGAAGGTGATGAGAGCCATTACGAGCACGGCGAGGACTATGGCAAGAAGGGCGGCAGTGCTCACGAGAAGGAATACGCGTATGGTGACCATGGAGACGATGACGACGACGACAAGGAATGAACGATTAATGTCTAACACTTGTAAATATCTGTTAACTATTTATTTCAATTAATTTTGTTATGTTTGATATACGAAAGCTGGTTTTTTACAGTGCATGAATATACGATTTACATTGAATTGTTTTACGTTTATTTATACCTAACAAATTTCTTATTAACGTTAATATTTGAAAAAAGAAATCCCTAATAAATTAATAAAATCCACCACAAACCTGCGTATGAAGTTCACATAAAAAAGAAATCGATAATTGCAGTTTAAAATTACTTAATTATCAAGTAACAATTATAAAATAAAAAACAAAATAAAACGACCTTCCGCTTTGTTGACAGTCATCAGCAAACGACCGTTACAAAGTTAATTTCAAATTACGAAACTGTCAACAAAAAGTTACAGTTCCACTGTGATTAATAAATAATTATTTTTTGGGTTCACTGTGAACTGTGAATGAACTTACAAATATCTTTATAATAATTTGGCTCACGACAATAGATTTTGGCTTGGTTGCGCCATATTCTATTAAAATTATAATGCAAATAATGCTTGCTACTCAGTAGGTTGTCAACTAATGTTACTTTAGGACATAATAGTTAACTCAATAAGCTATAACTGCCTTGAGTTTCACTTTTTCGTATTTCTTGCTTAATAACTCAATCTGTACAAATTTCTAGGTCTATAGTAATTTCTAATTATATTTGTAACGGTACATTTCATAGTAGGTTATGATCATGAAGCAAAACAATTAACACTAAACCACAATTAATCTAGCGTTATAGAAATTAACTTTACTCGCAGAGAGGTTCCCGGAATGTCCAAGACATAAAAAAAATACACCCTGTTAGTTTTAAAAATTTAAAATATCTAAGTAGCAGTAATGTATCATTAATGACAATTACTAAGTTGCTGGAAATAAAAGGCTTTTTTTATTTTTATTTATTTATTTATAGAAATTATACTTCATAATAGACGGTTCTATTTAGCCTAACATGTGTTAGGGATGACTAGGCTTTAATCAACCATACAGGAACAGTACAGATTTCACACGCATCTTTAAATTTCTGCGCCGATGAAGAAGGCGCGTCAGATAAATACAAAGAAAGGACATATGAAAAAAAAGATGGAATACATTGGTAACTATACTTTAGATAGATGAAAAGCACAAAATTAGATTTTTTATAAATGTTTATAGAGTAATGTAGTGGAACCACTTGAACCTTCAGCAAATACGATGGAAGGATGTATCGATCTGATTTTGTGTTTGCTTTTTAAAATCAAAACGAAATCAGTCCTGTGGTCTCCTCAAACCGCATAGCCTTACAATTAAATGTCAATAAATTTGTAATTGAATTACTACGATTAGCTATTTAAACATTTAATACCACCAGTTAATTTATGGTTACTTTTGAGTGGCGTTTAAAACGTTATTTACAATTGATTATTTTTTAATTTGAAAACCGGATCTGATAGATGCCAGTATTTTTCGTTGCTGGAAAAACAAAAAAATCTTTATGCCTTGACTCTTATTAGTTTTTTTAAACGAATCTGATTTCATGTATGTCAGTGCCGCAACCTACTTCCAGTTGCAAAACAACCGACAAAAAATCATCGATATGGAAAAAAAAAACTTTATTTACTTATTGGTTTTGACACTGACCTGCTACTGAGTTGAATGGACACTGGATTGTTACGATGAATCAAATCTAAATTGAACTAACAAAACGTTATGTAATAAAATGACATCTAAGATTTAAGCAGATATAATATGACTTATATACAATTCATTATTAATAATGAGTTAATAACAAATTAACGGTTTATTTTTAAAGAATGAGTGGGAATTTTTATTACCAAAACATGTTCGTTTTTGTAATAAAAATGTAGGTGTCACAGAAAGATGTAACCAATGAAAATTAGCAATAAAAATGCCCTTTCTTGTTATTAATATTGATATTATTTTGTGGTAAGCAATATATTTATAAATACAAGTAATAAATCATTTCAAAGAACATGCCGTAAAAAATCAATCAATTTACAATCTTAACATCCATATCCGATGCTGGCATGTATTTAAAAGTAAACCATTGATTTTAATGCGATTTACACTTCATGTAGTGTACGTTTATTATTCAATAGTATTTAAAAAAATGGCGAATAACAAAGTGACTTACGTTTATATATTTGGTAAGTTTTTAAAATTTCCCCATAGTTTAAACCGTTTTTGTCTAAACAGTTAATACGTTAGTTTTGCTTTTTGTGAAGACATTTTGTGGTGACGATTATGTATAGAGATAGAGGATAAGTTAACATGATATTTAGTAGAAATCATTTTTTTTTAAATGTCAGACTGATTTTATTTGTTGCAGTACTCATATTAATAATAAAAGGTGCTGCTGCGGTAAGATCCCAGAAAATCCGAACAAGTGATGACACCATACAACAAATAGAATCGTTAAAAGAAATGATCCTGGCCACAGATAATTTACGTCCAGAATCTTTAGCAGCTGAACAAGATCTCGAACTATCGTTTAGAAGTGGATTAGGAATGTTATCACCACTTCCAATAGACATGGATGACGATTTGTTGAAAAATATCGACAGTCAGAGGGCATTTGCATGTTCTCAGTTGAAATGTTCCCCTAAAGATACTTCTACACCAGTTTGTGCTTGTAATTATAAAACGGGGAATGTTGTGACCTTCAAAAATAAATGTGACACAAAAAAGCATAATTGTAGATTTAATACAGGTATGAAAAACTCAAATATCTTTTAAAAAATTAAATGGTCACAAATCGGAAACAGTCCAATGATAAACTGTAGTGTGGGTTTCCAAATGTATTGATACATATTGTTGTTTCTTTCAGATTTCCACGTAATTTTAAATGAAATTTGTCCATGGGAATTTATATCGCGGCGAGGCAGTAAGGAGCTCATTATAAATTATGAAGATGCGAAATATTACAACTGAATTATCTGTTTATCTCACAATATCATAATAACAACCACTACCGTAGTTATCACAAATTTAAGACCCATTTCCACTTCTTGACCATTTTGTTTGACTATGATGTTATCTTTGATATCCATTTTTTAAATAATTTAAACTCTGGTATTAATGAATAAACGAATTAATTTGAAGAGAATGTAACCTTTTGTTATAAAAGTGAGTAAATAAAACAGACTTAAAAAGTATAATGTGGTTTTATTTTTTGTGAACGATTATCTTTTTAAAGACCTTGTATCCATTGCGACTAAAAACATAAAAAGTTAAAACTTGTCTATGGATTTTATGTGTCATCTTCGCTGTCAATCAAATCATTATACTCTATTCTCTATGGCCCTAGTTGAATGAATCGAAGAAGTGTTTGTGTAAATGATTGTGGAACAAAGAATTTTACAACGCGAAATAGATGAGGCTCGGTGGAGGACCACTATTTAACATTACTCATGAGTACGGAAGAGACTCTGTTGAATCTCGATTTCGACAAACCAAATTCATCAATTACGCCTCCTGATGACGGCGTGGTATCATTGTCTAGCAGCGCCGAGGACATTTGTTTAGTGCCAGAGGTCGGCTTCGAGGGCAACGTGGATTCCCCAGGGTTGAACCGGGAGTCGCAGCCGCTCTTGAGCGGCCGTGGCGACTTCGAAGTATCATTTAACCATTTTCCAGGTAATTACCTTGAAAACATTATTCCAATCCGTACTGATCACAAAATGTTTCCATGTCTTACGTTAGTATTAGCACTATATCTTACATTCATTTGTTCGACTTCATTTACGCAGTTGTAAGGCTTCGATTGACATAGATAACGAAAGGAAACAACTCAATAACGTTCATAATATACGTAGATATTTTCACTAACAGTACAAATTGTTCAAACACACATTAGTTTTAATTGATTGTATTCATAAAATCATCTGTAGTTTATATTGATTTGCGTCAACTTCATACCTTTATCAATATCTTGTGTTGCTGAAAATTACCTGTCTGAATATAGCTGCAAGACGAATTTTTTCAACGTCAATTTTCAGTGAAGCGTAACAGTTGTGTGAAAACTGTTTACTGCTGTTTATAATTCATTTTAAAGATAAATGGATTTTACTTTTAGCTGTGGTAAGTTTTGTGTTACCATCTATCATGTATATTTTATCATTTAATTATTAAAAAAATTAATTCCTGAAAGAATAAACATGAAAAATAGTCACCCATATGCCAGCACTAACAATAGAATTTACTTTTTATCTTCATATTTCATTTTATGTGTAAAACTTTGATAAGTTATATGCTTAACATTCCTATAAAGCCAAAAATAAATATTCATCATAATTAAATAAATTGTTTAATATAAAAATCATTTTTTAGAGATTTTTATTACTTATGCAGACATTAAATATACAATTATTCAAGTAAGTTAGCATTTCCTTATCTTCATTAAAACTTTTTATAATTTACATATAAAATCCATTTAAAAGTTATTATTAACTTTAGTTAGGTAAAACTCTGTAATATAAACATGCATAATAAAGAAGCCAGCATTTTTATTTTCTTGGTCAGGTTAACCGCAATAAGATCAAATTATTATTTACTAAAAACATATTAAACATTTTTTTACTATTCCAATGGGGATGTTTCCTAATTTTTGGAATAGCCTTTATTTTGTAGATAAACCATGTATGAACACGAAAAAAAATAGTATAAAATATAATACTCATTATTTCAATAAAAAAACACGTAAATAAAAACAACTCTTTCATTTCCCCCCAACACGTCCCATGACGTCACTTCTTTGCATACGACCTCGCGTCACGGCCTGTCACTGTCAATTTGAAAGAACCATTGATTGATAATACTCGTAAATCTTTGTTGTCTAAAAGTTGTTTTTAGTAATGGAGATAAAAATGAAAAAAACCAAAATGAACAGAAGGTGAAACTTTTAACGTATTAATTACATTTGTTGCTTCTAGTGGAAGATTATGTTTGTGTGTAAACAGTGACTGCGTCCTACACCAGTGTTACCAGGTATAAATTAAATTGTACTATAAGCTACTCTTATG